AAAAGGAGTGAGAAGACTGGAAAACTAAAGTTCTTTCTGGAATGAGAAAAAAAATCACACGCCAGGGTCACTTCCAACTCCACAATTCTAGACATCGAGCTTCTTAGAATACAAGATTCTAAAATTGTGAGTGAATGTGTTTAATTTATGATTCCAAGTGGCTAATAATTGTAAAATATGCTAGGATTCTGTGATTCCATTTTTTCTGGCAGGCTGAGGATCATAAAATGCTCAGATTGTACTGGTTCAAGGCAAAGGCCTTTCAACTAGCAGATGAGTTTGAAACCCTGAGGAACCAGGTATAGAATGCAAATTTCTGGGCTTCCATCCCAGAGACTGGTTTGCTCCATGTGGGAATCTGCAATTTTTTAACAAGTCCCCCTCCAGTGGCTGTGAGTAGGAGTGGGCAACTCCTTGACATATAGTGTTCTACAGAGACTGTCATTCTGCAATTCTAAATGTGATTCTGAAATGGCCTTTTGCTTATGAGTCGAGTATTCTGGAAGCCTGTTAGTCTGTCTCCATGTGCCTGAAGAGGCTGCTGAGGTGTAAAGACTATTTTACTAAGTATGTGCTTCACAGGGGAAGAGGAAAGTGGAGCCCCATGTCCAGAGGTCAAGGAGCACCCAAGAAGTGGACCCTAGAACATAGACAGCAAACTGATGGTGCTGAGACAAGTCCAAAGTAAAGGTTCAAAAAGGCAGGGCCTAGTCACATGCTCACTTGCAGTCCTCAGAGGAGAGCTCCTGGTGACTGAGCCAGAGCCAAAGAGTTGGAAAGACTCAGACTGGAGGAGGAAAGGCAGAAGTACAGTGGAGAATATCAAAAAGAACCAGAGGCAAGAGAGGGAAGAATTACCACCAAAACAGCCCCCTTTTAATGGATGGCAGGGATACTGCATGTGAGTGTCCAGGAAGTTCCAGAGGAGAGAGCTGAGCATGTGGGGATGCCCTGGCCACCCTGAGCACACTGGAAAAAGACTGCTCTGACATATTACAGAATGACTGGAGCTGGGAGGGTGAGACAGAGGAAACAGAGTACAGGACCTCCAGGAGTTGCCAGGTAAAACAGTAGAGGAGAGGATCCGGGCTGGGGGTAGGGCTCTGGAATAGAGGGGATTCCTCAGGGAATTTCCACACAGACCCCATATACCACCAATGAGTCAGGTTATAACCCTGAATCTGAGACCCTCTTCCTGAAAAGCCAAAGCAGAAAAAAGCAAAACCTAGGCTTTCTGTAGCTTCCCAAGTGGGGGCAGGAACACCAGTATGGGTTGTTCTTGATCCCTTCAGTTGAGGAAGAATGGCTAAAGAAGGGTTAATCACTTCCAGTTACACATTTTGCCTGCATTTCTGCTCAGTAGTGATGACATGTTCCTGGACTCACATATACAAACCTGTTCATCTCTACTGCCCCATGCAATGTCAGTGTGCCAATACATTACATGCACCAGCACCATGACCTGCTGATGGTGATACAGGATTGTACCATTTCATCCCCATGGTAACACCCTATCACCTCCTAGGTCATCCCTAGTTGACAGCAACACTTAGACACACACCATTACACAGAAATAGTGACATATCCCCAGAGCGCTTGTATCTAGCACACTATGTGAATGGGGTCCTCTGTGATTGTACCATATAACGGTGCTGCATGGCTTCACTGACGGTCACACACACAAATGTACCACAACACATGAATGGGTTTGCCTTCACGGTGCCTCATTCTATGTTATAACAGGCAGACTGGGAGCCTCACATCACATATCCTAGCAGGGACAATCCTCTAGCCATTGTGAATGACACGAGGAAGGCGCTCCTCACATGAGCAAAGTGCCCCAGGGTCCTTTTCTGTGCTCCACCCCTGCAGTTCTCTTTGCCTCTGGCACCTGGCCACCCTCTCAAACCAAGACCAACTCTGCCCCTCCAGGCTCAAGCTAGAATGGCAAGTTGTAGAGTCATTCGGACATTTCCCTGCACCAACCAGAAAAACCAGCCCAGGTCAGGACCAGCTTGCAAGCTCCAGAGCAGGGCTGGTTCCCATGCATCCCAGACACCTCCTCACTGCCCACATGGCATGCAGGGTGCCTTTTGCATCAAGGAATCTGTAAAGAAGAAAGAAGATGACCTTTGGACAGGTGCCCTATGTGAGCCCTTCTCTTGGTCACCACAGTCACAGTCTGTGACAGCCCACATTGTTCTTTGGTCCTCACACAAAGTACCAATATTAGCTCTCTGAATTGCTTCCCAGTGAACATTTCAGGCATATACATATCATTTGACAAATCTGTCTCCTCCCTGTACCTGCTCCCAGGGCTCATAAATAAAAGTATAAATTCAGCACCTGCCAGGATAAGATACCTTAAGCATAGCCACATCGATATTTTACAGGATCACTCTTAGAAGGTGTCTACAAAGCTTCTAAGCATGGACCAAAGCCGGGCTTGTTTGTGCTTTCACACACATGTGCTCACTAGTGACAGGCTGGATTAGATATGAAGGAAATGCTGGCAATGTGATGTGGAGACTTGGTACAAATTCGTGGTTGAGCTCTGTGTGTGTGTGTGTGTGTGTGTGTGTGTGTGTGTGTGTGTGTGTGTAAACAAAACTGAGGAATGGAGATGACTACAAATGTCAATGTAAGAAAATCTTCAGAGTGAAAGTTGCATTCCCATAGGCTTCGGCATGTGTCAGAAGAGAAGGGGTCCAGTGTAATTAAGTACCATAGTGCTCAGCATCAGGCAAGTCTGGGCAGGAACCCTAGCTCTGCTAAAGACCCACTTCTCTCCCTGGGCCTTACTTTCCCCTTTTTGAAAATAAGAACTTATGTAAATTAAATGAGAAAAGCACCAGAATTAATACCTGATATGTAATGGAAGCTATTGTTGTTATGAGAAAGTGTTATGATTCACCCCTAATCTTTCAACCAGAGGAAGCCAGCAATTGAATGAGCTGCCCTTCTATTGGCCCATAAGTTTTTCTGTACCTCATGTCAGTACACACAATTTTGTGTGTGTTCAAAGGGAGCTTTCTCTGTCACCTGGACCATCTTCTTACCCAATAGCCATCTTCCAGATCAAGGAATCTACGGCCTCATGGCTTCACATGAGACAGCTATCCTGTGGCTGGAGCTCCCACTGATGGGAGGCGCTTCCTCTTAAAGTCTACTTCCCTTTACCTTTCCCTCATTGCCCTAGTTCCATCTTCATCTGTGGTAAAAAGCAGTAGTACTCCTCTTTACTTGCTGTAGTTATTTATCCATTTCACAAGCAGTTCTTTGGCACTCATTTTTCCAAGCACCAACTAAGTGCTGGAGTTATAAGTCAAGGAAGTATCACCAGTCCTCCAAAACTAACCATCTCTCTGTGTTCTCTCCTCCACATGAAATCCTTCCACATCTCTTCTTTTGTTCTGATTTCCAGATGCCTACCCCATGCAACACTTTTCTCCAGCTTAACAAAGTCCACGCTAAAGTGTGGTGCTCAGAAATGAGCTCAATGTTATTTCTGAAGCCTCAGTTGAGTGTTCAGCGCAGCTTGGTCGACAACCATATCAAAAGCACTGCCAATTGTGGAAAAATCCCAATTGTAGCCAGAGTGCTACTGGCCAGATCCCATTTACTGAGCATGTTTTTTAAAAACACAAAGAAAGGAGGGAGGAAAAAACAAACAGAGGGGAACTGTGGCACTTTAAATGACATGATGTCAGATCTTTCTGCCCAGAACTCCCCTCAGGCATTAGTGGCAAGTCTAAGTCACTCTAATCAAATAGCACCCTTCCCTCCCTACCCCCAATGTCTACTGTAGGAAATAAAAATAACAAAGAATGAGCGAGCTATGCTGATGGACTAACACAGTGCTAAGCAAGCACTCAGCCATAAAAGAAAGGTCTTCTTTCTGCAGAGCCTTCCAGCTCTTAAGAAGAGGACAGAGATGAGCTTCAGAAGATGGCACTCCAAGTGAGTGTCCCTGTTTTGAGAGTATCTCTCCCTCTAGCCATCTCCTGTGACCATGCAGACAGAAGCAGTTCCCCTCGTTGGAACAAAGTCACATCTCCTTCCTCTCGCAGATCCTTTTCTTTGGCAGCTTTTGCAGTTCCCTCTCTGGAAGGAAGCCATCTCTTTCCAGAAGCAAAAGTCATAACCTGTCATAACCCAGATTGATGCCTGCCTAGCAAGCACAAGCTCCTGAGTTCAATCCCTAGTACCAAAACCAGGAAAGAAAAGAATGAGTGTAAGGGAAAGAAGAAAAGCTGGGCATGGGAGCTGTTGCCCTGCCTCCTGGAGATCCCTTTCCTTCCTTGGGCATAGGAGGGAAAGAAGTAGTCTCCTAGGGCAACTTTGCCAAAGGATTCCTTCTCATTCATAATATAACAGATCTAGAGGGGATGAGTGAGTGACTCACCTAAGACCTACTGCAATTTTGCAGCAGACCTTTCCCTCTGGATCCGCAGTTGAGCTTGTGATGCCTGTAAGAACCTTGTTCATACTTATCCCCCAGTTGTTCTTGAGCACTTATGTAGCTGGACGAGGGTGACAAAAGTACAAAGATGATGTGATGGTGGGTGGTCCTGGAACTGCTCACAGGCAAGACACAAACAGATGGAAGAGAATGGCTGATACAAGGGTTCCTTTCACAGGTGGCAAGAGCCCCAAGAACAGTGTGCTCATTCTGCCTGCAGAAGTCAAGGAGGGCTTTCTGAAAGAGGGACCTCTGAGTTCTGCTTCTCCACCACCACCCCTTCAAAGCAGCACGCTTACAATCCCTGAAGCTGTGGATAGAACGACTGATTGCAGGAGGATGGGGTGGGAAGGGGGTTTCTGCAATGGAAAAGGGGAACAATGAAGTGTTGAGATAGAAAACAGAAGAAAAAGAGGGAGAACGGGAGAGGGAGATAGAAAGTGGGGGAAGAGTGGAGGATGGGAGATGGAAGGAGAGAGATTTGAATTTCCCATCTGGAAGGGGAGCGGTAGCGCGTCAGGGCCTGGCTGAGGGGCGTGATTGGAGGGCGCCTTCGGCAGCCGCCCGCGGGAGCAGCCGTGGCCCCAGCTCGCTCGCTGGCGGAGTTACACGAGGCGGCGGCGGCGGGAGCTGGAATAGCAGAAGGAACCGCCTCGTTGAGTCGGGCCGGAGCCCTGCAGTGGCTTAGACGGTTGCAGGGACCGCCAGGTTGGTGCTGGCCGCGGGCCGGGAAGGCGGGGCTGGGCTGCGGGCAACAGGGTCTAGGCTCCCGTCTTGAGGCTGCAGGATAGCCTGGGAAGCTGGGGAGTGCGGCTTTCGGGGGAGCTCCCCAAGACAGCCAGGGTGCTGGGGTTGGGGCTGCGCGGCAGCAGCGCAGATCTCCCGGGCGTTCTTTTGGTACTGAAAGGACAGCTCCGCGCCTCGAGGAGGGGTGGGGGGCAGGGCGGGCTGCCGGGCGAGGCGTGAGTCCCGCAGCCGGAGACCCCTACAGAAGCCGCCAGCAGTCTGGCTCTCAAAGAACCCGGACTGCCCCGAATGCGGCGGGAGACTCAAGTCTGAATCCAGAAAACAACTTCGAGCTCCCAGGTCTTGGGGCGGGGGACGTCGATCTCAGCTACTTCGCGCTGTGGTTAGCCCAGAGAAGCAGGGGCCCTCTCCGCCCCGGCGGGCGCAGGAAGCCATCCCTTAGAGGTAGAGTTCGGGCTCCCCAGTGACTCAGAGGGCGGCGGAAGGGAGGCGAACAGACCGAAGGTGGTGGAGAGGAGCTCCTAAATGTCGATTGGGGGTGGGGGACCAAGGGGACTATTTGTCCTCTTCTCTGGAGAAGCCAAGTCTTCAGCAACACACGCCGGCTCTCGGGGGTCTTCTGGGGGGGTGTCTTTCGTGTTTTGCTCTCACTTGTCCCACTCTGCCCCCTCCCCTAGCAAAGTTTGAGGCTGGGCTGGGTCTTGGGGTTCAGCTTTGTGTGCTGAGAGAACGAGGGGCTCTCAGTGACCGATCGAGAGCTCGGGTTAGAGGTGCTGGGCGTGTTGGTCTCCGTGAGGCTCCAGAGGCTCCAGAGGCTCCTCTTCTGGAGAGAGGACGTGAACCCCCGCCGCTTCCGCTTTTCAGCCCGAGCTGCCTTCTTCCGCCCACCGCGGTCCCCTCCCCTCCCCCAACGCTTCTCCTCCTGGGGGCGTGGAGTGGAGGTGGGGGCGTAGAGGGACATCCCCGTGTCTGCCACCGCCATTATCATCCAGTCTCTTGCAAAAAACAAACGAGTGTTGAATTGAGTTGCAGTGAATATATCCCAGACTTGAGTCATAAAAACAGAAAACAGCTACAAGGACAAACACTGCGGGTGCCGAGTCTGCTTGTCAGTGGAGGGGCCAGGTCCCCTAAACTGCCTGGGGCTCATTTGGCTAAGCAGTAGCAGGTGTCTCCGCTGCCTTCGGACTGGGACGGAGTCAGAGGGAGTCAGGAAGGAAACTGAAGACTTACTTGCCCTGGGTCCTGGGCGCGCACAAGGCAGGGAACCCCTTGCTGCTGTACCACCCCTCCCCCGCTCTGTCCCCGCCTCCCCTCCCCCCGTCCAGCACCCTCACCACCATCACCCTTCCCCAGCAGGGACAGACCAAGGCATCCCGCAGAAGCGCTGAAGAGCGCCTCCTGGCGGCCAGGCCCAAATCCTCCACTGCAGGCAACTGGCCGGACCTGCCCACTCCTACAGGCGCATGGCAAAATACCTGCATACCCCAGCACAAACGCTCACATGATGTCGGAGGTCAGAGTTAGACATGCAGAATCATACCGCGAACGCGTGCACGCGCTCGCTCTGACACAGCATTAAATTCAACTCTACAAACACATCCTGAAATCAACTCTGTGGTGGATTCTGAGGACAAGAGAAAAGAATAAGATACAGACCTTGCCCTGAGAAGTACACAGAATGATTAGGAAGGGAAAGCTATGAAGGCAGATAAGGCATGAGCTGATGGCAGGCCGTACTGCTCTAGAAAGTGCTGTGGGTCTTATAAAGACACCGTGCCAGGGAGATCTGGAAATACAATGCTGCTGCTGCTGATGATGATGATGATAGTGATTATGAGAGTTGTTAGGAGCACCAATTAAGTCCCAGACACAGAGTTGGTGAGGATTTTGCATTATTTCACTTAATGCTCACAACTGGCTCCTGACATGTATGTTATTGTCTCCATTTGACACGCGAAAAAAAATATTAAGTCAGTCACTCAAGGTCATTTAACAAGTGGTAGAACTAGGATATGTGCTGTGAAAAATGAGGCTAAGAGGTTCCAAGGTGGTGGAAATCACATGCACAAATGCTGGGGTAGGAAGGAATCTGGAAAGAAGATATGTTAAGATCTGGCTTTCATGGGTCCAGCACTAGGGAAGAGGAATGAAAGGCAAAGATGGTAGGTACTAAGCTATAAGGACTTGAAGGCCAGGACAAACACTGGGTTTGGTTTAACAAGGTTGTGGGGAGCCACTGTATGGTATGTTTGCATGAGCAGATCTGCCCTTTAGGAAGATTAATTGAAGACCCATGTACAGGATAGAGAAGAACTAAGGGAAAAACAGTGTTATAGGTCATGCACAAATCCAGGCCCCAAATAAGCCCTCCAAGCCCTGAACCTCCAGGAAGTTCCAGGCCCTGAACATCCAATTCCTGAAGAAAGACATTAGCAGCAATAAGAGAGAGGAGGGTAGGAATGCAGGAACCACTGCGAAGCTCTGGCCTCCCAACCTCTCCTTCTACTCTCCCATCCCAACTGCACTCACCAGCGCCTCATGTGATCTACTCTGCACAGCTTATCTTCCCAGCCAACCGAATGCTGTGAAAAGGAATGCTGAGACTCCGTCTTCTCTGTCATGACCCCAGTACCCAGAATAGTGTCTGGCAGAAAGCAGGTGATTAAAGAACACATCATGAGTTAATGAATGAGTGGATGGATGGATGGATGGATGGATGGATGGATGATTTACTGACTGGAGTTTTCACTTGAAACAAGTGGAACAAATGATGCCTCCATACAAGTGATGGCTGGGGGAGCAAGGATGAAATTGATCTTTGGACAGATTGAACTGGAGATGATTCGTGTAACAACATGCAGCAGAAAACTAAATATGCAGGAATGAGAGAAAAAGATAGATGATAGATGGATAGACAGATAGATAGAGACACTAAATCTCTAGAAGCAGATGAGATTTCTATGGAGAAAAGGGATGCAGTGAGAAGGGAGTATTACTTAGAAAGCACCTACATATTAAAGGAAAGGAAAGGAAAGGAACTAGCAGGGGAGAAAGGAGATCTATCTAAAAGTAGAATGAAATGCACAAGAGTGCTGTGTCATAGAACTTAGGAGGAGATTCAAAAAGCCTGGAAAAAATTGAGGGAGAGAGCAGCAGAATATCTGATGCTATAGGACAAGGAGGAGGGGAGGGCAGTGAGAACACTCTGGTCCACATTTAGAAAGCCTACTGGCAGCTCTGACAAGGGAGGTTTAGGGGCAGTGCAGAGGCAGCAGGTTTCTGGTCTCATGGTACAATTGGACTTGACCTGGAGGTGAAGGTATGGAAACACCAAGTATAGACCCTTTCCTCACAGTGTCAGGACAGAGATGAATGGGAATGCAGGATTTGGGGAAGGAGTTGGAAAAGCAGAGGATCCTATGGAGAGGACACTGAAAATGTGATCCTATGGAGAGGGGGTGGCTAAGGGACCAAGAAGGAGGTGAAAAGAGAGAAAGCAGAGCACAGGCAGATGGACTGGCTTAGGATCAAGGAAAGGACTCCCCAGTGAGCTAGGAAGAGAAGGTTCAGATACCCATTCAGCTGGAATGCACCATTTGATAATCGCCACTGTTTACTGAGCACCTGCCATGTGGCAAGCACAATGCAATAATTATTTCTCACCTTTCAAAGTGGAAGCACAATCTTCACTTTATACTGAAGACTTGGTATTAAGGAGATTAGGTCAGTTACCAATACACAGTTAGAAAGTGACAGTATCTCATCAGGTAGGCCTGACCCCAGAGCTTATGCCCCTTTCATCACACCCCAAGACAAGAAATAAGAGGAAAGTCACTTGCTGAGAAGGAGGGGCAGGAGTCATCCTGACCTTGAGAAGTGAAGAATTATGTTAGGAGACTCTCAACAGAATGCACAGGGATGGGGAGATAGCTCAGTAGAATAAGCACTTGCCAGGCAAGCTCAAGGGCCTGAGTTCAATCCCAGGTTCGACAAAAAAAAAAAAAAAAAAAGAATGAACAAGAGATTGGTTAAAGCTGAGCACCACTTCTTAGCCTTTGGTTAAGATCAAATGCTTGACAGCTGGGAGAGCCACACTGGAACTGGGCAGCAGGACTTTGGGAAGTGAAGACTTGGAAACACCAAGTTAGACCCTTTCCTCACAATGTCAGAACAGAGATGAATGGGAAAGCAGGATTCGAGGAAATGCAGGATTTGCGTTGTGTTTGCCACATGGCAGTAAGTTTGGCTAAGTAATCTCAACAGGCTAAGATAAGGTCACCCTGAGCAACAGAGATGTAAACATGGATAAGACTGTCCTTGAGTAGATGGGCTTTATACATTTAAGGACAGGTAGCAAAGACAGTTGATGTTTGTTGGATAAATGCATAAAAAGTAAAAGTTTGATACAAATGGTATTATGATTTCAAGGGGTGCTCACAGAACACCCAGGGGTAAATGTCCAAAAGAAGCCAACTGTATTTCTTTGACTTATTCATTGTCTGTTTCTCTACATATACATGTGAACATACACACACACACACACACACACACACACACACACACACCACCTTAGAACATAATCTGCATGAGGACAAGTCTTTGTTCACCAATATATCCCCAGTGCCTAACACATCAAATGGTACACACTAGGTGCTAAGTTAATACTTGTTGCATGAATGTATATAGAGATCTGGAGCCCACCCAGCTAGGAAGTCTAGGTGTCTCAGTGTCAGTTTTCCTTAAAATATCTACAATGAAAGAGTTCCCCCAGGGAAAGTATAGAGAGGAAAAAGAGGCAGGGTCTGAGGTCAGAGTCCTGAGAAATAAGCTTATGTGAGGACAGAAAGAAGAGGATCCAGTAAAGGAAAGGAAGAGAAGAGGGGGAAGGGAGAGTATAGAATGGGAGATCGAAGAAGAAGAACAGAGTCACAGAACCAAAGGAAGGGGGTGGTTCAGATATACAGTGGGGAAGTCAGCCGTGCTGCTGAACTACTCAAATATAAATCCTGGACAAAAGGCTAGAAGATCAGATGGTCATGAGAGAGACGTGCCAAGGTCATGCAGCAAGTCAGGGACAAAGCTAGTACTGAAGCCCACGTGTCCTGACTACCCATATGAAGCCCCTCAAATTAGAGTCCTGCGTCTTCCACCACCACCACCTGCTAATTCCTCGAGATCCACGTATACACTGAGATGTGCTCAAGCATTCCTGAAATCTCTTCATTACATTGTCTGTGTCCTAATTTTAGAATGAAGGTGTTTCTCAAGGTCTTGAGTCAATTGAAAACATCTTGACTGAACTGCACAACCTTCAAACTCCGATTTCTGAGTCAGGCTGGGTTCCCTAACATTTCCTGGAAGGCCTTTCTTTTCTGGCCTAAATGTGTAAATATGTAGTCCTCAACGGCTCCTTCTAGACTGCAAGCACTTGATCCGTGTCTTTTCTCCTTCACATATCAGCACGAGGTGGCTTTAATATTCCCCCATTTTGCAGGGAGCAAACTGAATCTTTCCCAGGGACACGCAGACAGGAAGTGTTAAATCTAGGATTCTGAACCAACTGTATCTAATGCCCAAGCCCTTGAGGATATTTTCCTCATTATGTCATGATTTTCTGTAGCCCAAAACAACCTATCAAGAGCTCTGGTCATGCAGATAAGCTCTTGGTCCCCATGCTAGACAAACATCAGCCTGCCAATAAGATTTCTCATTTTGAAAGAAATGGGAGAAATCCACCAAAGAGCCAGTGACCTTGAACTAAACCCAGTTACAATATCCAGCCTGGCTTCTCAGCCACCATTTCCCAGGATTCCTTTTTTCTCCTTAGCAAATCATAAAGACTCCAAGGCATTGGGAGTAGGCCTGGCCTCAACTGACCACCAACACACGCTGCACTTTGGACAGCCCATGGTTGTCCCCACTCACACATGGAAGGAGACCTGTGGTGGCTTTGTCTGTTCAAGAGCCACTAAAACCAAGTAGCTAAAATAAAAATAAACTACCTGAATTAGAGCATGGGGTGCGCCTTGAGGTCTGAGGGAGTAAGAAGGGAGCCAGCCGACAGCGAAGCTTCCTGGCCTCTAGACTTCCCCTCCTCAACATTATTGTTGGAAGAGTTCCATTTTCATATACTTTGCATACTGAGATTCCTATTAAGATTTTATTTGAATAAAATCTTCTGAGGCAAAAATATAAAAATAAAAAGATAATAAAAATGGAAAGTTGATGATACAGGAAGAGGGGAAGGAGAACACCACAGAATGCCTCTAATGCCCTAGCTAGGTATTTAGAAGACCCTGAGCCTTAAGAGGATTATGTTTCCAATGCCTTCCCCATGTGTAATTCAAAATAAAAATCAATATTAAACACAAAACTTACTTGTATGCTGCAATAAAAATAACAGATTTCTCCATTTGTCTCATTTTCACAGTCTGGGTGCGCTCCTCCAAGCCGCTGTTCCCAGGATTTCTCCATGCACCTCTGATTTGTTGGGGCCCTAAATACTCGGTGATTATGGGCTGATCCCACGGCCCGGATGGATTCTTTCCAATCTCTACAGTAGCCCTGGAAAAGGTGCTGCCGTTTCTGTCTCAGGCAGGAGGAAACTGCAGGCTTAGAGGTTAAATGACTTACTGACGACCATATAGCACATAACAAATGAGGATGACACAAAAACACAGCTCTGTCTGACTCCAATTCCAGGCTTACTCCACTACGCCCGGCTTTGATCAAGTTAGGTCATTGTGGTCAAGATAAAGGCTTTCCAGGAGAGATCAGAAGTGGTTCCGCAGCACACGTGTTTCTGTACACAGCAAGTGCTTGATGAACTGCTTCTTTCTTCCTTCCCCTCACTAGCCTCAGCCTTACCGTCACTGCGTCTGCACCAGCGTGAGTGCATGGAACTCCTCCGCCCCGCCTGGGCAGAGACCCTCCCAAGTGACTCCCACCTCCTTCTCTTCCAGGTTGAAACATCTGTCACAGCCAGGTCAACCAGGAGTACAGGGTGCAAATTCAGCCGTGGGCTAAGGCGAGCTAACCAAAGCCAGCAGTATGGACTTCGTCATGAAGCAGGCCCTCGGAGGTAAGCCCCGCAGCACCCTCCCCCACAGCTACACCCTCCCCCCATGGGGTCCTGACCCCGGTTAAAGGGGACCTCAGCCCCGCCTGTCCATCTCCTCTACCTGATGCCTTTTTCTTCCCCATACCACTCTCACAGGGGCCACCAAGGACATGGGGAAAATGTTGGGCGGAGAGGAGGAGAAGGACCCTGATGCGCAGAAGAAGGAAGAAGAGCGGCAGGAAGCTCTACGGCAGCAGGAAGAGGAGCGCAAGGCCAAGCACGCACGCATGGAGGCTGAGCGTGAGAAGGTCCGGCAGCAGATCAGAGACAAGGTCAGCATTTCGGGAAGGGTAGCGAAGAGGAGGGGTAGGCTGGTGCCTGAAACCCTATCCTCGGGCTCCCCGGGATTCCAGCTTTCACCTTAGATCTAGTACTCTCTGAGCCTCACTCTTCTCATCCAAAAAATGGGTATCACAGGAAGACTTTCCTCAAAATATGACTATAGAGATTCAATAAAATAATGCAGGTAGTCAGTGCTACAGGTCCAAGACTCTTAGATATGTGTGGAATGCAGACTCTGGGTGCTGGAGAAAATCCCCCAATGCCCTGAGCACCTAGTACTATTGTTAAATATCACTCTTGCTATGTGGGGCTGCCACGTATGCTGAACAGTTTCGTGTATGTCCGGGAGCACCTGGCAATAAGTCAAAACTAGAAATAGGGCGGACGAGATAGCTCAGCGGACCACGCACCTGCTTATGCAAGTGCAGGGATTGGGGTTCAATTCCAGGCACCACATGCTGTGCCAGCCCCACTCCTGGACGCGCTGAGTCCGGGCATGGTGGCACATGCCTGTAATCCCGGGCCTGGGGAGGCTGAAACAGGAGGACTCACTATGAGTCCAAGCTGCCTCATGAGACCCTGTTAAAAAATAAAATAAAATAAGAAATAGTCTTCCACTGGTTCAAACCTAGATTGTCACCAAAATTTGACTCCAGGCCTATGAGAAAGCTATCAGTGTTTAGATTTTTGGAATTCAAAAAAGCAACAGTTATTAAGTGCAGGTATGATTTTAAAGAAAATTTCAGTCACCCTCTCTACCTTTTTGAGCACCTACTGAGAACCAAGCACCAAGATGGCACCTGCACCCCACTTTCCAGATGAAGAGAGTGAGGCTCGAGAGGTGTCTGTGAGCTGCATCAAGCAAATGTGCATGACTCAGAGACCCATCTCTTTCCTTCCCTCACCCCTGTCACACTCCTCACTGTCCTCCTCCTCCCCCAGTATGGGCTGAAGAAGAAAGAGGAGAAGGAGGCAGAGGAAAAGGCAGCTCTTGAACAGCCCTGTGAGGGGAGCCTGACCCGGCCCAAGAAGGCCATCCCTGCAGGCTGCGGGGACGAGGAGGAGGAAGAAGAGGAAAGCATCCTGGACACGGTGCTCAAGTACCTGCCCGGGCCACTGCAGGACATGTTCAAGAAGTAACGGGCTCTCCTGCTCCAGCCTCACTCCACTTGTTACTTTTTTTGTTGTTCTTTCTTTTCTCTTTACTCAGTTAAGTCTCAGTTCTGAAGGGGAAAACCTCAGTTGGCCTCTGCCCCTCCGCTGGCCAGGGGCTTCTCCCCTTCAGTACTCTCTGACACCCCACTTCATCCCAGGGCATCAAGTCCCACCCTACTCCTAGTTTCAAAAGGGAAGACAGCTTTTCTCCAGCAGGGGGCATTGAACTAGGGCCAAAAGCACTGGTTCCCTCTGCAAACCTAAGATCTGTTAGTGTGGTAACCCCCATACATTCCTTCATGCTCCCCACTGCCAGGAGGACCACTGTCCCCAGCCAGCCAAAGTAATGACACATTCCACCCCTGCCCAGCATGCTGGCCTTTCGTCTCTGACCCTCCAGTGGGTCTCCAGGTCAGGGCAGGGGCACTGAGGGGCCTGGCTCTGAGAGTCAGGGTAAGCCTGTTTCATGAGAACCTACCTTGCAAGGCCCCAGGTCTGGACAGGCTAGGTCTGGGCAGGAGGCTGGGGCTCCCCCCTTTTTCCCTCTCCCTGATGACACCCAGCCCAGGAGTACACCTTTTCCAAAACCAATCCAGAGAGGCATGGCCCCTGCCAGGTTGGTTCCTCCAAATGGATCATCTTTGGCCTTCAGCACATCTGTGGAGGAGCCCAGGATGGGGCAGCTCCTTGATCCCTTTCACTCCACTTAGGTCCTGGGACCCCACTGCCAGGCTGGGCCCAGTTTGCCCAATCCAGGGGCTACCCAGGCCCCCAAAAACACTTGGAGCCATCGGGCAGTGATGGTCTATGCCATGGGATCCCTCTTTGGTATGACTAAGCTGCCCCCATTCCTACCCAGCCCTCTTCCCCACTCTGTCCTGTCCATGTGCTTCCAGGGCCCCATGGTCCCCAAGAGGACCCTTCCTGGCCAAAGCCCCAAGTTGTTGGGGAAAAGCCAACTCCCATTTGATAGAAGGCATCTGTCCATTCATCCCATTGGCCAAGAACAAAGTCTCCTCTGGGCTGTATGGGGCTAGCATTTGCCACCCTCCCACCTCCAGATTGCCACAGCCACCAACTTAACCAGTTTTGTGAGAATGGTGTGGGGTAGAGAGGGGTAGCAAATGAAGGGGGAAGGTGAGTTTATGTGTGGCATAGTGTGTAGCAGAGATGGCATCAGCAATTGTGTGTTCAGAGATTTCATGCATGTACGTATGGTTGGAGTGTGATGTATCTTGAGATTGTGTGTGCGTGTTAGTCATCATATCTCCATGTTAAAGATTATGTATGTTAGGCAGCCTTGTTATACATGTGCTTGTTTAAGCTGGCATATTTGAGTTATGATTGTGTCCTATTTCCTAGCCACCTTATATGTGTTTAGAGATTGCATGTGTTAGCTTGTATATGCATGTGTTTTCAAAGTGGCATGTGTGTCAGGAGACATGGGTATATGATAGATGTCTTAGACTGTTTGAAAGAATTGCCAGATGTGTTAACTGTCATGTTCTTACGTATGGGTCTAAAAAAAGCAGCTGAGTCCATGGATGTGTGCTTAGAGAGAAAGAATGTGCTTAGAGAGAAAGATGCTCCCCCTCAGCCCTCAGACCATTGATCACAGGTGGCCACACCTGGCAGGAGACTTTGTCCTTCGCCTAGCATCCTCCCACCCTTGGGGATTTCCTGCCTGAAGTCCTCAGAATTTCATGGGGACAGAACTGGGCAGTACCCCAGGAAGCCATGCTGAGCCCCCACAAGGGCCTATCCCAAATGCAGGAGCCAGGGAGGGGGCGACTTGCCTGCCCCTGAAGCTCCTGGCCCATTGGCCCCAGTTTGCATTCTGCAGGTTTTCCATTTTAGTGGATTTATGCTTTTATTTCAGAGAGAGACATGTGTCTTCTCTGTCCGTTTCTAATAGTTAAAGCCATATCAGTTAGACTGCAATACTTTAAAGATGAGACAAAACAATCCATATGTTTAGGGAACCAGAAACGTCCCCTGATCTTTCCCTTCTCTGAGGAGCAGGGTCCTGGCAGCTCCAGCTCCCTGGACTTATCCTCCTCCCCCAGCCCTACACCCTCCCTGTGTGCCCCTGTGTTGAGCCTCCCAGGGGGCCATGTCTGTGTCTGTGCCTATGTCTGTGATGGGGAGCCACCTCGCACCCCTGATGTCTGCTTGTCTGTGTCTTTTTACCTGGGCAGGATGGTCATCCTCAAGAGACATGGGGTCCTGGGCTAGAGAGATGAGCTGGGATCAGTTGAGAGGCTCTAGGTCTCCCCAGACCCTGTGAGTGTCACTTAGACACAGAGGTAGATACCAGTGTTGAGACAAGTCTCCCTCTTGACAGGGACCCTCAGACCTTGAAAGCAATGCCAGGGCATGGAGTGCCAAATGGGTGGCAGAGACCAAGGCTGTGGGAGCTGTAAATGAGCAAGGGAACCTAGCCATTCAAGATACCCCAGCCCCTTAGACAATGTCTCTGTGGCCGCCGCAGTCCCTCTGGACCCCAGAGTGGGCTTTGGGCTTTTCAGCCCCATGCAGTGCCCCTCAAGCTGGACTGCCTCAGTCTGGGTACACCTCCCAGACTTCTTCATCCTATTACCAAGCAGCAGGACTTGAGGTCTTCCTGGAGGTAGGACAAGGGCAAGAATCTCTGCCTGGCGCGTCCCTGCCTCATCCACTGGAAAGTGATCACTGTCAGATCCAGGGGGGACACAATTACTGTCATTTCTAACACAGACCTGACTGTAGAGAGAAGCCAAAGTGTAGCCCAGAGAGGATTCCGTGTGCAACACAGTTGAAGGGAAAAGGTACACAGAAGATGCTCTTCCAGGGGCAGGGGTGTTCGTGGGATGCCTGGCATAGATCAGTGTGGCCTACTAGATGGGAGGAGGGATGAACATGTCACAGAGAAATGGAACAGTGTGCATGTTACACACCAAGAGGGGAAGATGCTCCAGAATTCAGCACAAGGGAGGAATAATCTTTGGTAAGTGGCTGAGAACAGAACAAGGTGCAATGGAACATGCACCACTCAGGCAGGCTCGTGTGTCCTTGGGCAGAGCCACCCAGGCTCCTCCTGTCCTGGGATTCTCCACCAGGGGCAAGGAAGGGGGCTTCTCTGAGTGGCCAGGATTTCTACAGCAGATGCCTCCCAATCCAGGTCCAGAACTGCCCAGAAGAAGTGCCCTTAACAATAAACCTTGTAGCATGAGTCTTCAAATGGAAGCAGGAAGTTGTGAGCATCATAGGGGTGCATAAGAGACTAAGAAAGTGAGAAGGTTCGCAGAAGAGCTACAAGTGTTGCAGCCCAAGGCTCCTTCCATGTGGCGCAGTTGCTAGGCAAAGCAGCCATCCCAAAGGCTGGCTGGAGTAAAATGGGTGACTTCCTGGGGGCAAGAGGAGGGCTCCACAGGCTTCTGTCTGCACAAGGAGGCTGAAGTCAGACCAGCTCCAGTAAGGGACATCTCCCAAGTCTGAGGACGTGCCTCCCGCCTAACGTCCTCCAGCCTCCACTCCTACTGTCCCCACGCTCTTCACTGGGGAGAGAATGGGAGGTGCTCATGCTGGCCCTGGGGCAGGGCTGGGGGTCCTACTGAGACCCGGGGGAGATGGACCATCCTGCTTATGCGTGGGAACCTTCTTCCCGCATCTGTGCTGTGTCTTTGTTGCTCTGCTTCTTTTAAATGTGTCAGTGCCTGGGGGAGGGGAGGGCCACCCCTTCATCACCCCTGAACCTGACCTAAAGCCATGGCTGTTGCTCCCCCCTTTGTATGATGCAAATGCTAAGATATACAAAGCCAACCATGACAACAAAGAAAAAGACCTTGTACAGCAGCTCTCTGTCTCTCTGCCCTCTTCTGTCTATCGGCACCACCAGGGATAAACAGGGCACCACCTTACTAAGGAAGGAAGACAACCTACAAAGCTCAAGGCCCCAGATTGCCTACCCAGGACACTGGCTAGGACAAGGGAAATAATTCCAAAACTCAGTGGAGCCCAGGATTGCAGCTGGGTCCCAGAATTCCAGGGTTGCTCCATCTCTCTATGTCAAGTCTAAAATCCCAAAAGCTGAGAGGGATGGGTACACACGCATGCACACACACATGTACTCACACCATTTCTAACCATCCCTAAGTTCCTTAGGATGTGACATCCTTAGAATACCATGAAGTCACATAGGAGGGCAAAGATCTACCATCCTCTGAACACTGATGGAGCATCACCTCTGCAACTCAATGTGCAGGAGTCCAAGGTACACAGAGGACCCTTCTCAGCATTCCTCCTGCACACAGACACTTTCTTGGCCTTGCTGAAGAGTCCTGTCCAGAGTAAAGCCCCCTCCACTTTGCACCCCCAACACCCTGTCTATAGTCAGACCTCATCTCTCCCCATTTCCCTCTGGTATGCACTGGTCTCCCACATAACTGGTTCACCTCTTTCTTTCATCCCTCCTCCACTGGCCCAGCCCCACTTGCAGCCCCACCTTCATTTATCTAAAATGCAGTTCGTCATGTAACTTCCACGCCTAGCACCCTCTAATGGTCTTAGGATGAAATTTATCAAGCAGATAATATCCAGATGGCCAAAATACTGCTGTGTGACACGGCCCCAAGCCACCTGGTGAAACCCACACCTTGTTCCAAGTGCTCCCAACCCCACACACACCATACTGTAACATGTCACAGATCTTGTCCCCTCTGCCTGGAATGAGCGGCACCCTTCCTCTCCATGACATTCACCCTCCCAAGATCCAGCGCGATGTCATCTTCTCTGGAAAGGCCACCCTAACACAGTCCCTGTCCCTTGATCAGAGCACAGCCTGTTGCTGGGCCCACCTAACACAGAGCACCACAGCCGACCGCTCCAACAGCCCTGGGTGCGCGGACAGGCTCTGCCACCCAGCAGAGCGCACCTGAGCAAGACATTTAACGCCTATGAGAGTTGACTTGCAAGTGAAGTGATAACAGTTGATGTGACCCCAATAACCACAGTTGTGATGAGTAAATGGGGTCC